GGAAACTCAGGGTGGATCACGAAGTCACCACACACTCTGAGCACAAGCAAATGACAACAAGGGCGGTCCACATGCAAAGTTATATATAAGACATCAAACAGTACAGTGATCACTACTTTGCAAGAGTAAGCATGCATATATATATATGTATATACATATATATATGTATATGTCATAGTACACGTAAGGTCAAGTGAGCAAGTGAGGCAAAACAGGTTCAAGGCCCAACACAGTACAGAAGTGCTGATGTACATCGGGGGCGGATTCGAGGCTAAGAACTTGTCTGAGAGAGCGGCACGGTAGCGAACGTCACTAGCGCGAAGGTGGGAGATGAGGTCCTCAACTGTGGCAGATGAGGACAACTCTGGGAACAGGTAGGGCAGAATAAGGTGGCTGAGAGCAGCAGTGGCAGGGGAAGAGTAGCAAGCAACTACAGTGGTGTATAGGTCCTTGCGGTCTTGTGCTGGCCGAAGTGAGCATGTTCAGCTAACGGCAGATGGTTGCGAATAGCTAGACGAGCAGCTGCGTCACGGGTCTACCATTGTGAGCGAGAGAGATTGCCAACTGTGTCAGGAGGAGCAACTGAGGAGCCAGACGTGTGATCAAACAGGGAAACACAGTCTTTAGCATCGGTCATTAGGTACAGTTGCAGGTCATCGAGCCATGTGGCAAACTCTATCGGGCGGCTGTTAGGGTCGAACGTAAGGACATTTAGTGTAGCCATGACTGCAGCGCGGGGCACAGGCAGGTAGACGTGGCGCTCGAGCAGTAGAGACGGCACGTAGGCAGCAGAGGCGACGCGCTGGCAGGCAGAGGCGGCGTGCTGGTAGGCAAAGGCGGTGCGCGGGCGGCAAAAGCGGCGCGCGGGCGGCAAAGGCGGCGCGCGGGCAAGCAAGGGCGGCGCGCGGCGTGGCAAAGGCGGCGCACGGGCCGGCAGTGGCTGGGTGCGAGCGGGCACAGGCGGCACGCAGGCCAGTAGGAGAGGCGCGCAGGCGGGCAAAGGCAGCGCGCGGGCCGGCAGGGACTGCGCGCGGGCGACGAAAGGCGGTGCGCGGGCCGCGGTGGCAGCGCGCAGGCTGCAGGCGAGCGGCATGCGGGCTGGCAAGGGCCGCGCGCGAGTAGGCAAAGGCGGCGCGTGGGTGGTAAAGGCAGCGCGTGACCCTGCAGGGGCAGTGCGCGCTGGAGAGGTAGTGAAGGAGAGACGGAGAGAGGAAAACAGAGAGGGAGAACGAGAGAGAGAGAATAGGTTACGACGGATGTTGCTGTGACGAGAACGAGCGCTGCAGCTGAGTGGAACAACCAAGGACAGGGAGGCACTGCTACTACATGATCTCCCCCGGACATTATCAAACTCCTACCCACGCTGCTACATCACAAACGCCACATACTTCCCCGCGGCAGCGGCATACCTGTTTTTGAACCCTGAAAGCGTCACTGTGTCCAGTAGAATGGGCCGCTTCAGCTCCCTCGGGAGCTCATTTGCATTATGCATGGGCCACCAGCGCCGGTCGCCTCGCCCGTTTATGTCCCCCTCGCCCAGTATCCATAGCCCGTATGCCTAGTTCGCTTGCAGCACCGCGCCGCTGAAATCGTTTGGCCAAGACTTGGACAACGGCGGGTTCTCGGGCGCGACGTTACTTCCGTCTAGTTTGACGGTCACTCTTGGGCCGCATGGGCCTTGCATGGTGACGTAGTTGAGGAGGAAAGATTTCCCGCGAGGGATTTGGAGTACGATGTGCTTGTTCGCCTTCTTCGTTGCGCCGCACGCGGCATCGAACGCGGCGAGAAACGCGGCGTTGTCGTTGGTTTTACCGTCGCCCCGCGTCGCCCCTGGAGAATACTCATCAGCGCAGGTCGCGGGCTGGAAATAGCAGTAAGCCATGGCGGATGGCTGGTCGTAGCCGATCTTGCTCGCGCGGTCCATGCATTCCGGTGGAAGAAGCAGCGCGGTGACCTCGCCGCCGGCAGCGGCGGCCGCCGAGTCAAGAGGCACGGAGCCGCCGTACCAGAGACAGGTCTGGCCGGAGCGACACGTGGCTGAGGTTCAGATAGAGAAGCGAGGTTGGTGGGCAGGTATGTTTGGTTGGAGGCGAGAGGTGGGGGAAAGTACGTGGGGAGGGGGGAGGAGCTGGTGCGGGGAAACAGGAGGAGAGTGGCAGCACTCACGCATACTGCCATGGCAAGCAGAAGGTTGAATCATGTTACAGGTGTGAGAATTGTACGAGGAATGAATGAACTAGAAAACATGTGAGTACAAATATGCAAATCTAAAATTGTTGTACCCCATATTATCAACCCCACTACAGCCTATAATATGGTTCTGACACACCCCCATAGGCAAAGTGGGGGACAAACAAGAGAACAAGAGAAGGTCAAGCTTAGGGTGGATCACAACGTCACCACACATTTCGAGCACAAATTCAAGGCCACAAGGCCAGTTCACAGGCAGGATTATAAATCAAGGTGAACAAGCAAGACAGTGATCTCAACCTAACAAGGGCAAACATGCAGGTGCAGGTATGTATAGATCACAGTACAAGCAAAGTCAAGAGGTGAGTAAGTGAGGCCCTGCAAGCACAAGACCTAGCATAGTACAGAAACGCTGATGATCACAAGGCTGAAGTGCCTTGGTGAAGATATCAGCAGTGTTGGCCCGAGAGGCCACGTAAGCAAGACGAAGCTGACCACGCTGCTGCAACTCTCGAGCAAGGAAGTAGCGCAGAGCAATGTGCTTCGTTCTATGCTCCAATTTGTGCTCCCAACACAAGGCCAGCATGGCCTTGTTGTCGACGTACAGAACTGGAGGAGAACGAGGCGCCTCTCCCAAGTCAGTCAGCAGGCAGGTGAGCCAACGTGACTCCTGTGCAGCCATGGCCCCAGCGTAGATCTCAGCCTCACAACTTGAGTTGAGAAAAGAGGACGAGCGGGTAGACCGCCACGAAACAGAGCCGGAACCATGGCTGAAGGTGTAACCCTGTGACGACCGCTGCGTAGCCAAGTCGTCAACCCAAGAAGCGTCTTCGTGACCAGTGAGGACAACTCGAGCCCGTCCTCCAAGCACGAGCCCCATGCCCGACGTACTGCACAAGTAGCACAAGTCGTCGACGTACACGAGGATGTAGAACGGCGGCAGCAAAGTGTCGGTGCGCAGAAACAGCGACGGGTCAGCACTAGAAGGAGCAAACCTAAGAGCCGCAAGCGTAGTCCTCAGTGTATCGTGCCACTCACGAGGTGCCTCACGGGGACCATAGAATGGCCGCTGGAGGCTCCACTGGGTACCGGGAGGAAACGACCCAGTGAAGCCAGGTGGGCGGCGCAGCCACATCTCCTCGTGCAGGCTGCCTTGTAGGAAAGCAGTGCTGAACTCAAGAGAGTGAAGCTTGTAGTCATGCTGAGCAGCGACGTGCACCAGAACCCGAAGAGTGGTCATCTTCGGGGTCGGGGAGAAGGTCTGGAAGAAGTTAACTCCCTGTCGCTGACTAAAGCCTCGAGCAACGTAACGCGCCTTGAAGACAGGCGGAGAACCCGGCGGCCGCTTCACCCTGAAAATCCACATGCCACTGACGATGTTCGCCCCAGGAGGGGGAACCTCGTCGACGTAGGTGCCTGTGGACTTCCAGGATGCCATCTCTGCGTCCAAGGCTGACTGCCACTGAGAGGAGTAGGGACCCTCTATCGCCTCTACGTAAGAGCGCGGGGTCGGGATGTCTGGTGCATCCGGGTCTCCCTCAGGTGCAATCAACATGGACACGAGATGAGGTACTGCGGCTGCAAAGCACTTGAAGTCCTCCTACCTGTCTGTCTCCCGACAGACGGAGGACAGACAGACTCAGACTCAGCAACAAGACTCGCGGCGTAGTCGAGACGACAGCGAGCAGCAAAGTTGACAAGCTCAGCAACTAAGGCAGACGCAGCAGTGGACTCAAAGGAAGGGTCAGTGACAACAGTGGCCAGGAGACGCGTGGCAGTAGGACTAGCAGCACGATGGGAGTCAGACTCCGGGTCAGCAAGGGCACGAAGAGAGGACGCAGGAGGAGACGGCAGAGGGACACGCTGCGGAGCAGTGGAAGGACGCAGAGCCATCTGGTGCGTGCCAGGGACAGGAGGAGGACGCTGACGTGGACCACGACGACCAGTGCAAGCAGCACGAACAGGCGACGCAGGACGAGACTCAGGCTCACGACGCTCCGTAAGGCCTCGTGTTGGAGAGGCGGGCTGTAACTGTGACTCAGGCTGGACAGGCTGCGGACACATTAAGGAAGGAGCAGGACCAGTAGAAGGCGGAAGACCAAGAACCTACTCAAGGAGTGGAACGAAGTATGGCCGCGGCCGTGCAGCACCTCCAGAACCAGCAGGGACAGCACCAGCACCCCCAGTGGCAGCTCCAACTCTAGCAGCACCACCAGCTCTAGCAGCACCTCTAGCTCCAGCACCCACCGCAGCTCCAGCTTGAGCAGGACCACCAGAAGACCCAGCAGCTCCAGCAGCTCCAGCTCCAGTACCTCCAGCAGCACCTGCCCCAGCAGCCCCTGCCCCAGCAGCACCGCCAGCTCCAGCACCTCCAGCAGCTCCAGCTCCAGCTCCAGTAGCACCACCTGGCCCAGCTGCTCCAGTACCTCCAGTACGAGCACCTCCGGGACCCGTGGCACCAGAACCCCCAGCAGCTCCAGCAGCAGCAGGACCTCCAGCGTGAGTAGCACCACAAGCTCCAGCAGCACGGCTCCAGCTGCGAGCAAACCACTCGCGCAGCTGCTGTGGAGAAAGTGGCTCCCGCCAGGACGAAGCACCCGAGACGCAAGGAACGCAGATAGGGGCAGGTCCCGGGGGGAGGGGAGTGAGGGACCGATGAAAACCAGTGACAAGGACACGGGAGGCCATGCCTCAGAGACGAGGCAGGGAGGAGTGCCAAGGTGATGGTGCCAGAGGAGAGTCTGGTGAGACTGGAGGCGACACGAGCAGGGGGCAGACTCATGACCAGATCGGGACGCTGCACCAAACACCTAACCCGGCGCAGCTACCTGACCAGACTCAGCAACCGGAGGAGACACGGTAGACAGGGTGTAGAGGCTCGACCCAGGCTGACGAGTGAATGTGGCCAGGTGACGGCCCATCACAGTACACGAACAGTTGGTCACCTGCTGACCTCCAGGAGTGAACTGGTCAACCCAGGCGTCCTGAAGGTCAGCTCCACTCACCAAGTTCGTGGAGAACGAGGGGAGGTGGAGGCCAGACAGAGAGCTAGACGGGACCGCCGGACACTGCAAGACCGTGGAGGAGTGCGCAAGGACCGGACCCCCAGAGGGGTCAGCCAAAGAGACTGCCACCGGCCGACTGAGCGGCGTGAGTGTGGTGCAGCCGCGAAAGAAGGAGCGGGAAGCACCCGAGTCAAGGGTGAAAGGGTGTAAGGCCTGAGCCGACACGGTACCTGAGAGAACAGACTCACCAGTACTTGGAGCAGCAGACTCACCAGCACTTGGAGCAGCAGACTCACTAGCACCTAGAGCAGCAGCCTCAATGCCCGAGTCGGGCGGAACACGCAGGTAACAGCCACCCTCAGCTCTAATAGACTTAGCATAGGTAGCAGCAAGGATAGCATCATAATCAAGATCAAAGATAGCAACCCCCGACTTAAGCAGATCACCCAAGCGAGGGATCTCAGAGGAGTCGGGAAACTGCGTACGCCAAGCGTTAGTCAGGCGGCCAAAGCAGCGCAGTGTAGCGTGCGGTCCTCCACACGTCTCTCCACTGCGGTCGCCGATGCGGAGAACGTAAGTGCAGGGACCAGCACCCCCTGACCTCCCACGCCCAGCGTACCACTCACGAAGCTGCTGGGGCGACAGGGTCTCAGGAGGGCGCTGCTGCTGCTGGCGCTGGCTACCGCCAAAGCCTCCCCACTGCACAGCGCCACCTCGACCAGCACCACCGCCACCACCGCCGCCCCCACCATCTCCTCCAGCACCCTTGCCCCCCTTGCTCCTGCCGTTGCGGCACCTCCCACTAGGAGCAGACGTAGCGCCGACCGACTCGGTGCCAACGAGGTCGACAACAGCAGCAGAGGCAACAGAAGGCAAAAGGGGAACGGGGGAGCACCCCTCAAAGAAAGGGGCACGAGGGTCACCACGAGAGGCTCCTACAGCGACTATACTCTTCTTGGCTGCTAGGCGCTCCTCGAGGAGGTCAATGGTGAGTGTGGTGGGGCAAAGGGAGAGAAAGTGGTCCCTGACCGAGCGAAGGGAGTCAGGGAGCCGGGTGACAAGGTAGTAGAGAGTGATGTACATAGGGGGGGTGTTCGCGGCGCAGAACTCGGCAGGAAGCGCAGCGCGGTAGCGGGTGTCACTAGTGCAGAGGTGCGTAATGAGGTCAGCGACTGTGGCGAAAGCGGCTAGGTCAGGGAACAGGTACGGCAGCATGAGGCGGCTAAGGGCAGCAGTGGCAAGGGAGGAGTAGCGCGCAACAACAGCGTCATACAAAGTCCTAGCGGTCTTTTACTGGCTAAAGTGCGCGCGCTCAGCGGACGGCAGGTGACTACAAATAGCAAGACGGGCAGCAGCATCGCGTGTGGTCCACTGGGAGCGAACAGTGCTGTCAGCATCAGCAGCAGGTGCAGCAGAGGCGTCAGACGTGAGATCAAAAAGCGAGACTCCGTCCTTGCTATCGCACTGCAGAAACAGCTGCAGATCATCGACCTAGACCTCAAAATCGACCGCTTGACCCTTAGCATCAAAGGTAAGGACATTAGGGCTAGCCATGACTGCAGGGGCAACAGCAGTTGTAGCAGGAGCAGTGCGACTTGCAGGGGCGGCGCGGCTCGGTAGAGCGGTGCGGGTGTGGCGGTGCTCTTACCTGTGGCGGGAGGGGAGAGGTCGCGATTGGTGGGGCAGGGCCATGGCGCACCAGCAGGGTAAGGGCCACGGCTCGGCGGCAGGACAGGGCCGCGGCTCGGCGGCAGGACAGGGCCGCGGCTCGGCGGCAGGACAGGGCCGCGGCTCGGCAGCAGGGTGGGCAGGGCCGCGACGGCGGGGCCGCAACGGCGACGGCAGCGGCGGTCGCTCCGGTGGCTGGAGGCGTGACGGCAGTAGTATGGGCGGGCGACGGCTGGTGCTGCAGGGTAGGGGCCGCGACGAAGGGGCGGGCAGGGCCACGTCGAAAGGGGCGGGTAGTGCCGCGTCGAAGGGGCGGGCAGGGCCGCGTCGAAGGGGCGGGCAAGGCCGCGTAGGGCCGCAACGAAGTGGCGGGCGGGCCGTGAAGGGCCGCGACGAAGGGGCGGGCGGGCCGCGCCGGGCCGCGACGAAGAGGCGGGCTGGCCGCGCAGGGCCGCGACGAAGGGGCGGGCGAGCCGCTCAGGGCTGCGACGAAGGGGAGGGGCAGGCGGGCCGTGACGAAGGGGCGGGCGACCCGCTAAGGGCCTCGTAAGGGCGCCAGGGCGGGCCTCTAAGGGCCGTGACGTCAGGGCAGGCCGCTAAGGGCGGCCGTAGGGCAGAGCCCGAGGCGCGCTTCGGGCAGGGCAGGAAATAAAGGGTTTTGAGGTGGTGGGCCCTTAAAAAAAAAACGGTCCCACTTGGGAACCCGCTCTATACCATGTGAGAATTGTACGAGAAATGAATGAACTAGGAAAAAGGTGGGTACAAATATGCAAACCTAAAAGTGTTGTACCCTATATTGTCAACCCCACTACAGCCTATAATATGGGTATGACAACAGGAGCTTATTGTGCTAGGTAACGGGGAGTATGGCTCACATCACCTCATCAACACATGAGGACCTGCATGCATTGACCTTTGTTGACCAGCATTGACTCGAACGAGTACAAGGCCTCTTGATTATCTCGCGTCGGTCGTCCAGTATATAGCTACAGTCGCCTGTCACCGTCGTCTTACTGCGACTCGGGGCCCACGCATCGGTGGGCTGCAAGACCTTACTGTGGGACACGCGGAGGGGGGTGAAGAGAGACACGCAGAGGTGGGGGAGGGGAATAAGCACAGGAGGTTAGGTTAGGACGGAGAAAGTGAGAAGAGGTAGATATGTAAATTTTCAAGAGGTGTGGGAAAGAAGGAAAATTGCATTGTGGTGGCGAAATGGTAAAAGGTAAATCGGCGCAACTAGACAAATAAGAGAATAAGGACGGCAGAGGCGAGGAGATGACTGAAATAGATGGAGAATAAGACAAAGGGTGGGTGGATGGTACAAATACGGCCCAGGCGATCGGGCGACAGGGGCTTACCCGGTACTGAATCGCTCGACTCGGATGAATTTCTTGGCACGCGCATCGAACTTACACGCCGCGTGTAACTTGGGAATTTCGCCTGCTCGAACATGAGAGCGGGCACACACATGCACGGGTGGGAGCAAGTGTCGTCGCCATTCGAGAAGATTGACAGGCGTTGCGCCCATGAGTCGAGGGCCGTCTCAAAAGTGAAACAGGAGACGTTTGAACTGCTGGAACGCGAACTACCGGTTCAAAGGATTGGGAGCGCGCAATGAGAGGTTTGAGACGTTTGATGGGGAGAAAAAGTGCCAAAAGTAAGTGTCAGAAGTGCCAAAAGTGTCAAACCTCTCGGTACTCGCTGGCACCGACTACGGAGATTCTGCCAAATGTGTGGCAAACTGACAAGCCACGTTGCAGGAGGATAGAGGGTGCGAAAGGGGAGTGTTACTAACCGTGAGAGATGCCCACAAAGGTCTCGAGAATTAGGAAGACGAAGAGAGCAGCAAGAAACTTTGCAGAGCGCTGTGGGTTCTGACGGTGCTGGCGTTGCTGTCGCTGCTGTGGCCCAGATGCGCTCGTCTGCGCTTTCCCTGAGGCAGTACTGCGGGTTGGCTGGCGTGCCGTAGTAGAAGCTCCACTTTTGTGCCACACCAAGGAGAGTTGCGGCTGCTGGCGTGTGTCGGAGGCTCCGCGGCGATAACGATTGCGTGGCGTTATTTGGAAGAGGTGGGCGTGTCAGAATACTATATAGCTTATACATTTGTGTAGGCTATAGTGGGGTATCCCATAGGGGGTACAACCCAATTTGGGTTAGTACTTGTACTCACTCATTTCATAGTTGATTCATCCTCGTTTCAATCTTCACATGGTATCGAGCACGTTCCCTCGTGGGAACTATTCCTAAGGCCCTACTACTGCTTCCGCTGCTACTCGATCTGTCGCACGCCCCGCGGCGTGCACCGTTGGCGCGCGGCGATTTTCTTTCTGGCGCGCGCCCCGAGGCGCGCGACCCCGCCTCTCTCGTCGCGGCCCCGCCCCTTGTCGCGGCCCCGCCCTACGTCGCGGCCCCGCCCCTCGTCGCGGCCTCTGCCGCCCTTGTCGCGGCCCTGCCCTACGTCGCAGCCCCGCCCTACGTCGCGGCCCCGCCCCTTGTCGCAGCCCCGCCACCTCTCGTCGCGGCCCCGCCATCTCTCGTCGCGGCCCCGCCACTCTCGTCGCGGCCCCGCCCTTCGTTGCGGCCCCTGCCGCCCTTCGTCGCGGCCCCTGCCGCCCTTCGTCGCGGCCCCTGCCGCCCTTCGTCACGGCCCCTGCCGCCATTCTCCACCGCGGCCCCGCCACCTCCCTTGCGGCCCCGCAGCCCTGCACCGACCCGGCCCCGCCTCTGCTGGCCCCGTCGCCTGCCCCTGCGGCCCTGGCTCCACCTCTGCCGGCCCCGGCGCCGCCTCTGCTGGCCCCGTCGCCGCTCCACCCGGCCCCGCCGCCGTCCCCAGGCGGCCCCGCCGTCACCACCGAGCCGCCGGCGCCGCCGCGCTAGGGAGTCTGCTTCCTCGGGTGCGGGTGAGTCTGCTCTCTCAGGTACCGCGTCGGCTCCGGCCTCTCACACCTTCACCCTTGACTCGGGGGCTTCCCGCTCCTTCTTTGGAGACTGCACCACACTCACGCCGCTTGGTCGGCCAGTTGCAGTCTCTCTGGCAGACCCCTCTGGGGGCCCTGTCCTTGCTCACTTCTCCACTGTCCTCCCGTGTCCGGCGGCCCCCTCTGGCACCCTGTCTGGTCTTTACCTCCCCTCGTTCTCTACGAACTTGGTGAGTGGTGCTGACCTGCAGGATGCGGGGGTTCACCAGTTCACTCCTTCGAGTCAGCGGGTGACCCACTGCACAGACGCTCGGACAGGCCGACACCTGGCCACGTTTACTCGTCGACCGGGGTCGAGCCTGTACACACTGACCACTGCGTCTTCTCCGGTTGCTGAGCCTGGTAGGGTAGCTGCGTCGGGTCAGGTGTTTGCTGCAGCGTCCAGGTCTGGTCCTGAGTCTGCCCCCTGTTCGTGTCGTCTCCTGTCTCACGAGACTCTCCTCTGGCACCACCGCCTTGGTCACCCCTCTCTGCTTCGGCTCAGAGGCATGACCTCTCGTCTTCTTGTTTCTGGTCTCCCCCAGTCCCTCCCTCCCCTTCCTCAGGGCCCTAGCCCTACCTATGTCCCCTGTGTCGAGGGGCGCCAGCGTGCTGCCCCTCACTCCTCCCAGTTTCCTCCGACAGAGGCCCCGTTGCAGACCCTTCACATGGACGTGTGGGGCCCAGCCCGCGTCCGTGGACAGGGTCACGAGCGCTACTTCCTGCTCGTTGTTGACGACTACTCGCGTTACACCGCAGTCTTCCCCTTGCGCAGCAAGGGTGATGTCACTGAGGTGCTGATCGACTGGATCCGCGCAGCTCGTCTCCAGCTCAGGCAGAGCTTTGGCTCGGACTTTCCTGTTCTGCGTCTGCACTCGGACAGAGGCGGAGAGTTTTCCTCTGGCCTTCTGAGAGCCTACTGTCGCGCACGGGGCATCCGTCAGACCTTCACGCTTCCGGACTCTCCGCAGCAAAATGGGATTGCTGAGCGCCGCATTGGCATGGTCATGGACGTCGCTCGTACGTCTATGATGCATGCGGCTGCCCCCCATTTTCTGTGGCCGTTTGCGGTCAGGTACGCGGCGCATCAGATCAACCTTCACCCCACGCTCTCCAGGCCGGAGACCTCCCCAGCCTTGCTGTGGACGGGGAAGGTTGGCGATGCGTCGGCGTTCCGGGTCTGGGGATCTCGGGCGTTTGTCCGCGACTTGTCTGCGGACAAGCTGTCCCCTCGTGCTGCTCCTTGCGTCTTCCTTGGGTTCCCCCCTGACGCGCCTGGGTGGCAGTTCTACCACCCCACCTCTCGCCGTGTTCTGTCCTCCCAGGACGTCACGTTTGATGAGTCGGTCCCCTACTACCGCCTCTTCCCCTACCGCACTCCGTCCCTTCCCCCACCCCTGCTCTTCCTTGTACCATGTCCCCCCCAGGTAGACCCCCTCCCCCCTCAGGGTCCTGCCC